TGGCAGCTTCAGGCGCCACAAAGTAGCCAAACATTTTGGCAACAAAAACTAAAGTAGAGAAATAGCTAATTTAATTCAATTAGCACAGCCGCATGTCAGGTGTCAAATCCAATTTAATTATAGAGAAACAAATCTGTGCTGAAATGAAAGCAATCAAAGTCAATCAATCAATTAATTAATTCATTTGTATATCAAACTGAAGCTGAGATAAAATTGCCAATGCAATGAAAGTTGACTACAGTTACAATAAAAACTTATAAACTGCAATTTGAGTCAATCCTTGGGTAAATTTCTGATAAATCTACAATTTTATTGTCTCTTATTTCATTTCACTTAAGCTGCGCAATTTAAAGACTCTGGCCAAAAGATTTAAAACCCATAGACTTAAAGACACTCAAAAAAATATAAATATATGTGTATATATACGTAAAAGTGGCCAGCAACTAAGGAAAAAAAAAAGAAAAAAAAAAAATATATATATATATAAGGTATTCAAAAAAGAAAAGCGAAAAAAAATTTGCAGAATGCGGAAAAAGTTCGACAGCGAGCGGCAAACAAAATGCGAGTACACAGCGTGTGAGAGGTATGGGCACAATAACAATTCAAGCGTATACAAGTCGACTTCCGGTTTGGCAAGGACATTTACCCGAATTCAGCGCAATATATGCAAAAGCACACACACACAGAGTGAGAGAGGTGTGAGAGTAAGAGAGAGAGAGAGAGAGCGAACCTAACATGCATGCATATGTATTGTCGCCAGTGCTTGTAGTTCCTGTTGTTGTAGCTGTTTTTCCCGTTGGCAAACAAAAGACGCAGATGCCTTTTTCCTTTCCTTCGCTTTTTTTTTTTTTTTTTTTTTTTTTTGCCTTTATTGACGCTGCTGGAAAAGCTTCAGTGTTTGCTTTTGTCCAAAATGTTCTTTAAATCGGAAATCAAAAATAGCTGCACTTGTGGGCAGCAGGAAGCGGAGGGCGGTTGGGACAATGTCATTGGAACGAGCCATTTGCATTTGCCATTGTTGCGTGAGAGTTAGCCACACACACACACACACACACACATGCATGTATGTATGTAAAATTGATATGATTGACTAACTGACAGATCAATGCATAGCCTGAAACTTAATAATAGGAAAATGCATGGGAAAACTCTTTTTGGCAATTCACTTGAAATTCTGTTGATTTACTAATTTTACAATCGAACAAACGAAGAGACCTTCAAATCAGATATATACCTATCTATATATGCTGTTATCATTTGTAAATATAGCAGAGTTTATTTCTTATTAAATAAATGTTTTGTTTTGGCACTTTGAAGATTTTAAAGCGCTTTTTGTTCACATTGTTTAATGGGCTGCGGTTGACAGTTTAATGGAAAATACAATTTATTCAAATACACATGCAATACGTGCGACAGCTGACAATTTGCTCGCATCGAACATACAGATATGAGCATCAGCAACAATAATAATAACAACAACAACAACAACACCAACAAGAGGTGCAGCTGAAAGCGCATAATTGTAAGAAGTGTCGGCAAATTAATTGGACATGATATTGAAGTTGAGAGTTTACTGGCTGACAGGCACATTAAAGTACATTGTAGCTGTATGTGTGTGTGTGTGTGTGTGTGTGTGCGAGTGTGTGTCTGTGTGACCAGCACATCAGGCAGTCTAAGCAAATATTAATTAGTTTAATTAAGTAAATGCGTGCTCAGCGCTTTGCGCCTCGCTTTCAATCTCTCTCCCTCTTCCTCTCTTTTCTCACTCTCTCTCACGCATACACACACACACATATATACTCACTCATCCAAAGTACAAACAACGCGCAGACAGCGCGTCGTCGATGAAATTAACATAATAAGTATGTGTATATACACACACAAACACAATTAAACAAACACATACACGCACATATACATGTTTGCTTACATGAAAACATGATTACATACAAATAATCGTAGTCGTTCGAAATATCAAATTGTGGCCAACAATTTATAAACAGTTATTGATTAGCATTTTTCCAAATTGTTAATTAAAGTCATGGAAATGATAAGAAATAACTTGAAATAATATAATACAATATTTAATTTAACAATTTGTTATTTGGCAATCAAAAAATGAGAAAAAAGCTACAAAACTAATTTTTATTTATTATATATAATATTCATAAATTATAAAAATTAATATTGTGTATATTGTATATACACTGCGCGTCATCAGGTTAGCGCCCCCCTTTACGCTCAACCTCAAAGGTAAATAAAATCTAAACCAGCAGAGCTCCATCTTTGAAATTTTTTTACATTATACTCCATTTATTTCTCTTTAAAATACAAAAAGAATGGCTACTGTAACAATAAGGATTATTTTTTAATAATTTTTTTTGTAAAATGTACAAAAAACATGTAACAAAAATTTGGTCATCAGATTAGCGCCCCCTGCGCTAAATTCAATTTATTTAAGTTAATGACCAAAAATAACACCTGTATTTTAAGCTATTATTATTTTTAGGTAATATTAGTAGTGCGTAGTGCCGTTTTTTGTTTGAAATTACTTCAAAAATTCGATTAGGAGTGGAATTATAAAGTTGTTCAATATTATTCAAGGATATGGTTGACCAAGCGTGTTCAGTACCTTCGATCAACTCTATCTTTGCACAATAATGCTTTTCGGACTCATATACTTTCCTGATCAACCATCCCCAGACGTTTTCAATGATATTAAGGTCGAGTGAATATGGTGGCCACTCCATGAGATCAATTTTTTGGCCCTGAATCCAGGACTTCAGGGATTAGGATTTGGATTTGGAGCATTATCATGCTGGGAAATCTAATGCCGGTTTTCAGACAGGTTACAGAAATGCGGAACAGCAGTTTTAAACACGATGTTATAGTCCTATGCGTTCATGCGCGATGTCAAAAATTGAAGCTTACAAGCGCTGTAGTAAGATATTGCACCCTACATCAATGCCACACCACCCCCCGCCGCAACGGCTTGGAAACCGTTCCACATAATGTTCTTCTATGCGTAGGTCATGGATATAATAAATTTTGCCATCAGCTCCTTCCAAATTCAATTTTTCTCATCAGAAAAGACAACATGCTGCCATTGGGTAGACCACGTCATGTTCGCCCGGCCAAAATTAATGCGTATTTCTTTTCTCAGCATATCGACTGGTGTCTTTTTTTTTACATTCTGTTTCTTTAAGTAATTAACTTTCTTAATTGCTCTTTAGACCGTTGATAAGCTCGTCTTAACACTGATTTTAACCCTAATCTTGGTGGTCGATTCGTGGGAATTCGAAGCTTCTCGAACTAATGCTCTTCTATTTCCTTCTGAAATCACTTGATTATTGCCGCTTATATAGTTTTTTCCATAGTTTTCCCTATTTGTAAGAAAATTGCCACTTAGTTTTCTGTTTTTTCCTGATTTTTCAGCAATTTTATGGTTGCATAGTCTAGATTCAAAGTATGCCTCAATCTTTGATTTTCAACCAAAGATAAAACTGTTTCTTTACCCATACTATAAATATATTGAATACTTTAAGCTTCACAAAAAATTTGGTGAGTGTAATTGCCAAAATAAGCAAGATAATTACAATTGCATTTGGGGGCGCTAATCTGATGACGCAAAATAAGTGCACACATTTTTGCGAAAATACAGAAGAATATAAAATAAAACATAACGGGTTTTCACTCGCGGTTTTTTTTGGTATGAGAGACATCTCATATGATGATAATGAAATAAAAAAAAACCAAGAAGTTGCGTGCAATAGGCAAAGAGAAAAACGTAAAAGAAAATGAGTGTAAGGGGGGGCGCTAACCTGATGACGCGAAGTGTATGTAGATATATGTATATATATATATATATATATATATATATATATATATATATATATATATATATATATATATATAATACAATATTTAATAGAATACAAGAATACAATATTAATATTTATAAATAATATATAAATATCTAACATTATTATAAAAGAAGCTTTAATTTATTATATATAATATGATAAAAATACTAATTAAATTTATTTATTTTTAGTAAATACAAAGTAAAATTAAAAATTAAATTTTTTAATGTATAATATAGTCTAATTCATATATTATAATAATTTGAATTTTTGCTTTTTTTTTTAATTTTCATAGCATATTTTTGCGGGCTGCCAAGTTGACTAATATTTTAGTTGACTTGCTTCACATATGAGCAACTTTCACAGATTTAACACGTTAAACTTAATGTTTAATGGTAACGTGCACCGTTAGAAGTTGATCAAACTTTTGTAAATTGAAATACAAAATATTAAGTTACTTTCGCAGCGAGAGAGAGAGAGAGAGAGAGAGAGAGATAGAGAGCAAGAGTGCAGTGCTTTGCCTTTTACGCACTGCTTACAACATTTTGCTATCTAAGCAAGTCTCTCTCTCTGTGTGTATTGGTGTTTGCAAGTGTGAGTGCAGCGTATTTGTGTTGGCCAAAGTTAAAAGTAAATAAACAACATTTAAAGCTTGCACTTTGGCTACATTTGCCGACGCCGGCGATAGTGTCCAGCACTGAGAGAAATGTCAAAATGTCATTTGATTGAAATGGGATATCTCACTCACAGGCGCCCGCCAGCCAGTCAGCCAGCCAGCCAGCCAGCTCCTTTGCCATATATTTGTCTCTGTCCGTGTGTGTGTGTGTGCGCCTGTCCTTTGTGCTATAGAGCAGACACCCTGCGTACTCCTGCCCCCTCGCATTTTCGGACTGGACTGTGTTTGCGTTTTGTCAATGTCTCTGCATAAACTTTGTTGACAGGCGCTCATTTGTGCCGGACTCTGAGTTCAACTCTGACTCCGACTTCGACTCGAATTGCAATTCTAGTTGGAGCAGAGCAGGGGGCGTGGCCCACCCACTTAAGAAAATTTGTTGTCTAAATATTGAACGAAGAATGAACTATGCTAACTATTTACAATAATATGTATATGCGAATGTTTTTTCTTTCCCTTTGCAGATCATGTGCGCGAATTCACATGCGGCAAGCTCTACTACCGCACGTTCCACTTGAGCGAGGAGCGCGACTCACTGTATGTGGGCGCCATGTAAGTATCCTAACCGGGTGTAATCCCAAATCCTTAAATGCTGGCCAAGCTAAAATCCAAATCTATTCTGTTCGCAGGGATCGTGTATTCCGTTTGAATTTGCAAAATATTTCCTCTTCGTATTGTGATGTAAGTATGAATGCATTTATTGCTACCTATTAATTTATAATAAACTGACAACAGCAACAGCAACAACAACAACAATAAGAACAACAACAGCGAGAGCAACTATAGCAACTATGCAGAGCAATAACAATAAGCATATATAATCCTGGCATTTGCTTTTAGGCTAAGCTCCCACGAGCTCCGTTTGTTTTGCTCGCTTGTCGAGTGGACCATTGGATGTTGCTATTGTTGTTATGTTCTTGTTGCTGTTGTTCGCAATTCCCCTGGCCACAAATCTAACAACCAGCGAGCGCACATAAAACGTGTAGCACGCTTTTAGGCAAACAAGCTATGCCACGCTGCGGCACATTTTTAAAAATTCATTACGCGCCTTCCGCACAAACTTTTCCATGCACACACAAGCGCGCACACAGACAGGCATTTATGGGTGTGTGCGTGTGCGTGTACACTAGTGTGTAGTTGCCAAACAGCCGCTGCTGGCTTAAGCCGCCTTTCCTTTTAGCCTAATACTTTTTATCGTCGGACGTTGTCAACACACTCGGCTCACAGGGTCAAAGGATGTGGAGGATATGGGGGACGTCGGGGACGTGAGGCGCGCATCAAATGCGAGCCAGAAATCTTCGATTCCCCGATGTAAGCGAGTGAAAAATATCTGTTTTAGTTACTCAGCTACCAAAATCCAACTGCCAACTGCCAACTGGCAACGGGCAACGGGCAACGTGTCCCTGTCCACCTACCGCAGCTGGAAAACAAAAAGAGGCCGAACAGAAACAGAAACAGAAGAGAGAAGCATATTTAATATGCGCTCTGGGGGCTGCATTATGGGCATTCCGCTTTGCCATGCACGAGCCCAGATTCCACGTTTCGTGTGGTAATGGCTCAGTGCCGCATAATTTATGTACACTGCGCGAAAAACAACATACATATTATAAATGTATTCCGCAATATTGAAGAGAGGCATTCATATGAAAAAGTTTTAAAGGGGATGAAATAATTCAATGAGTACAATATTATATTAATTTAAAATTTAAAAATTATTTAAATTTCCAGATTTGTTAAATTAAATAAATAATAATAAAATATTTAAATAAATATAAAAGTTAAATAACAACAAAAAGCTAAAAAAAAAAAAAATAATTAAAAAAAACCTTTTAAGTCTAATAAAATATATGAAATAATATAAAATTTAAACAGTCATCAAAAACTAAAAATTAAAAAACAAATAATAATAATAATATAATATATATAATATTTTTTTTAAATATATCATTGCAAATAATTATAATATAAATAGTTATATATAATTAATAACAATAACAATAATAAAAAAAATACTTTTTTTAATGCTTTAAAAATCAAAGCTTCTAGCAAAATTATCTAAAAAAAATGTTATAAAAGAGGTTAAAAAGCTCATCAAGCTTTTATGATTTTTTAAGTTTACAAAATGTAAAAAAAAAAAAATATTTAAAAAATGTTCGTTTTTTATTTAAATATGTATATATAAAATTTAAAATTTTTAACAATTTTATGTATATTTTTAATTTTTCTCAAATATTTCTAAAGGTCAACTTGTTGCCAGTTAACGGTTCACCTTAGCCAGTGTGTACACACATTAATATATTTTGGCAATCTTATAAATAAGTTCTGTTTTCTTTCTGCTCACGAGTTGAATTTACGTTTATTTCACTGTAATTGGCTTTTAGAAAAATTAAAAAACTGATTTATATGCAATGGGAAAGTAATCATAAATCATTATAATTATGCATATCTAAGATAAAGTTAAAATATTGATTTCTGATAGGTGAGAAGAAAAACTTAGAACTATAATATAATTATGTTGGGAGAGACGAAAATGCAATTTAATGTATATTATGCAATTTTATATTTTCTGCAATGCCAGTGTCTAGCTGTAGGCTCAATTGGTGTAAATGTGTGTGTGTGCGCTTGTGAATAATTTGGCCATAAATGCCAAAACTTGCGAATTATCGAAACTCGTGAAAGCCGATACACACACACACACGCACACACACACACCGACATACTCATATAGTGAAGGTGTGCGCACCTGTGGGAGGCTGTTTATGAATTTATGTCATACAAAAGCTTGTTTTATGAGTGAAACGTTGTGCGCGGCTGTGGCTGCCTGCAGCTGGCTGCCTGAAACCTGGTCGCAAACGTATCATAAAACCGAAAGACGCTACGTTTTGCAGCCATTTCGAGACATACGCCCATCGGCCCACCTGCCCACCTGTCCACCTGCACATTTGCCCACCTGCTTTCAAACCATATCCATCGCAGCCGAGCAGTCAGCCAGGCATTGCCAACCGGCATCTGTCAATATATTTTATGTGCTATTTTGCACACTCACACATACACATACAGTGCGAGTAACTGCGTTCGCCCTGGGCATCATTTGGTAGTGGCCTACAGCAGTGGCAAGGTGCTCACTGCTGGCTGCGACTGCGACAGCGACTGCGACAGCGACTGCGGCTGCGGCTGCTTTATGCGGCAAATGCAAATTTTACTAAATAATACATGATTTTGGTTTTATGTGGACGCACAGCGCTGCGCCGCTCAGCTCTGCTCCACTCCCACCCTCGATAGGTGGTGCGATGTGGTTTGGTGTGGTGCGGTGCGTGCGCGCATTTCGCTTGAAAATATTTCGTATGTGCTCGTTACATTACGTGATTTATAAATCAATTTGCTTGAAAGCATGCCACAAGCAGCGCTTGGCCTTCTGGCGGTTCCTTATATCGCCCACAGCCACCGCCTCTAGTTGTAGTTTATGGCCGCACCACCGGCAAATGTAGCCAAAAACGAAAAAAAAAATATATATATATATATACACATATGGAGGAAATCGGGAAACCATTTTTGCTTAAGAAACTACTCCTAGACGCCTCCAGCGGCGACTGCATATAAATGCTTGAATATTAAAATTTCAGCTTCAGGAGTTGTTCCAGTGCAAACGCCATTAGTATGGAGCATATGACGTTGAATTGCAATTCACAGTTTATATTCAATTGAGTTTGTAATTGATTAACACCTGCAGAGAGAAGCTGTTAAGAATTGAAAAGAATTTGACTTGATGTTAGCTAATTTGTAGTGCTAAAAGTTTCTTTTTTTTTTTTGTTTAAATAGTATTTTTTATAAAATTATATAAAATTACAAAAAATAGTAAACCTTTTTCATTTGCCAAAATTATATTAAAATAATATTAGTACATTTTTATTGATTGACTTTATAAGTGATTGGATCGAGATAAAATTTTTTATTCCTCTTTTCTCTCTTCTTGTGAAATCAACCGAAATATATGCAAAACCTCTCGCTCAGAGCAGCAGTTTTCGGTTCTTTTCGTTTTAGACTTCGGCTGAGTGCCTTACGTTGATCTATTCGTGTGACGCTCTTTTCACGAAGATCATTTAGGGAGACATACGATTGATGTTCGTGTAATGAGAAAGAGGAAGGGAGAGTCTATGCATACGATCTTCACACTGACACACACATGCACATACTAAACTAACCTCGCATAAATACTATTACATAGACAGTAGATTCCAGTAGCTCCATTGAACTCAGTCAAATGGGCGGGGCAAAAGTAGAGCAGAGAGAAAACTAGAAAATAAAGATTTCTGTTCGATCGTTAACGATGTTATTCATTGCTCTCTGACTTTGTTCTCGTCGTGTCAGCAGAGATCAGGAAGTAGCCAACAGTTAATTCCTAACAATGCTATTATTGAACTAGCAATTGAACCTTCAATATCATCTATTTAGAATTCCTAGATGTCTGTTAAAATAATTTCAAATCATATGGAAAATTCGCCAAAGTAAATATAAGATTCACATAACAATTTTCTTTGAGAGTAATCAATATATATTTAAAAAGAAAAAAATTCTAGAATAATGTATAAAATTTTTATTTGAACTAGATATATATATATTTCTGTGTAGATCCTTTTTAATAGTCTCTCTTATTAAATATTTGCAAAACTAATTAATATCTTTTTGTTTTTTATTTTTTTCTAGCGCGATGTCATAAACTTGGAGCCAACTCGCGATGATGTGGTCAGCTGTGTGTCCAAAGGCAAAAGTCAGGTAAGTGCTGAACGATTTACAGTTATATATACGTATATGTCTATATACATATATAGTATATATTTATATAGTATGTCTATGGTAAATGAATTCAATCAGCATTTTGCATTGGCATCGACTCTATTTATGGCAATGCTGCATAAGTCGCTAATGGCAGCTGCGATGTGACATGCTCAATGGTTGATTGATTTTTTATCATATGCTGGCATCGCGGCAGCAGCTACTGATTACACACACACACACACACACACACACATGTATATATGTACTACAATATGAAGTAGCGTCTGGGCTGAATCAATTTCTTGTGGAGCGCGCACGCGAGTTGCTCCAATTTCCCAAACCGAATCCGATTCCTATTTCTATATAGCGCCGACTCCTACTCCGGAATCCACTGACGCATCCAGCAATTTCAAGTGCTGCGCTTTGCAAATGCAGCGGCGCTCCGGTTGAGGCTGACGCTTCTGTTATTCTGGCTGTTATTGTAACTCGTTTATAATGTGACAGCAAATCCTTTCATTTGAAATCTCTTTCAATTTATTTGTGGCTTTTCAATTTGTAGCGAGTTTTTCGTGCGCTTCAGTTTCAGTTGCATGCCACACAGACATACACTGAGTCAGCCATATGCTACATGTACATGTGTATTAGTGTGTGTGTGTGTGTGTGTGTCTGATTGTGGCTTGTATCTAGATGTCAATTGAACTGTTTTTGGTGTACACTTGCGCTCTATCTGCCCGTGCCTGTGTCTGTGTGTGTGTGCGTGCGTGTGTGTGTTGCTTAAGTCATCATAATGCTGCTGCTGCTGCTGCTGCTGCTGCTGTGCGTCTGTGGCAGGGATTTACCAGCATTGCATTGTTGCCAATTGATTTAGCGGCAGTGGCTGCAGCGACGCGTGCTATTACAAATTGTACTATTTCTGCAACACACACACACACACACACGCAAGTTTTGATTTATTTTTATGTGCGTGTGTGTAAGCTTGTTGTGGCAGAACTTTTATGGCAAGCCACACACACACACACACAGCGATATCATCTCCTTTTACAATTATTTTTCAATGCTTCTTTCCAGGTCTTTGATTGCAAGAACCATGTGCGCGTCATACAATCAATGCAGCAAGGCGATAGGCTCTATGTTTGCGGCACCAATGCACACAATCCCAAGGATTATGTCATCTATGTAAGTACATAACATGCTTTCATTCTCTATATACATATATGTATATGTTGCTCTCGCTGTCGCTGTCGCTGCTCAAGGACAAGTTTCTTTTTTTGTAGCAATGATAATGCAGCTACGCAACTTTTCAAAAGACTTGCCACAAATATCAAGCGAGCTCTTGTGCTGCAAGTCTATGTGTCTGTGTGTGTTTGCCTGTTGACTTTAGATCGCTATCCAGGAACAGTCACACAGAGAGAAAGAGACAGAGACAGCGACAGCGACAGAGAACACAAAGCAACGCATATGGCCTTTTGTATATATGAACTGAATAGAGCTTGTTCTTTTATGTCGTCCTTAGTCGTTCAGCTATATATAGATACATATACATATATATATATATATAGAAGTTATATAACTTTTGTGTTGACTACTTGTTGTGAAAATAGTCATTAGTGTGCAGCAGGTGCAGTCAGAGAGCATACAAAACACACACACACACACACACGCAAACAGACACGGAATCATGTCAGGTGCACTGGCTGTGCAATAAACCTTGCATTTTGATTTGGCAAAAACTTCAACCAGAAACTAAAAACAATATTTGGCAAGTTTTTTGCACTTTGTATTCAGCCTTTCGGTGAGCTGGCATCAGCTCAACAATTAGCACAAACTTATTCGGGCTTTCCTTGAACGTGCTCGGACAAGCATTAAGTCGGGTCTGCACTCCATTGCAATGAAACCAGAAGATAATAGCAAAGCACAAAGCTATCAAAACGCTATATAATTAAATGATTAAGGGTGCTGCAGAAGTGAGTAAACAGCAACTGAAATATGTATAGAAATTTAATATCATAATATGACATGATGAAATTATGATAGGGAAAGAGTTGGGATCTTCACTTAAATAAAAATATTAAAAATAAATAAAATAAAATAGGCAAATGAAAATATAAATAAAATACGAAATATAAAAAATAAATCAAATATAGACAATAAAAAATTAATTATAATAAAATAAAAATTTTTAAATAAAAAAAAACAATATAAACAAAAAATAAAAAAAGATTCATATTCTGTAACGCGAATATTTCTTTAAATTTAATATTTTTATTATCTTATCAAAATTGTGAAAATTAAAATTTTAAAAATATTTAAAAAGTATTACTGAAAATTATTAAGTTCAATAAATTAACGAAGTAGAGAAATTAATAAATATTAAATGGGTTACTTTTCTCCTTTATAAGGTTTTGTAAACGCATTTATTATTCAAAATGAAATATTAACATCAAATGATCAAATGCAATTATAATGATATATTAGGGTTTTTATGATATATACTATAAATAAATGAAGAAAACTTTTATGGTCAAAAGAAATGCCACCTAAAAAACTATATACATATATTTACCATAATATGTTTCATTAATATCAAATACTATTATATTTACTATATATACTATAAATTTACTATATCTTACATATATTATTTATATGTATATACTATATCATCTATCTTCCCTTACTTTACGCATTCAGTCCAATTTGACTCACTTGCCACGCTCGGAGTATGTGATCGGAGTTGGGCTTGGTATAGCCAAGTGTCCCTACGATCCCCTGGACAACTCAACGGCCATTTACGTGGAGGAAGGTAATCCGGGCGGACTGCCTGGCCTGGTAAGTAACCCATTCATATGCAGAGCTTCCACGCATTGCACGCAGCACTGCGAATCTGTTTTTGTCTCACTTCTTGTGTGTTTTGCATTCTTTGCACAGTACTCGGGCACAAATGCGGAATTCACTAAGGCTGATACTGTGATCTTTCGAACGGATTTGTATAATACGTCGGCAAAGCGCCTGGAATACAAATTCAAGCGTACGCTCAAATATGATTCCAAGTGGTTGGACAGTAAGTAACGAGAAGAGAAAGCCACGAGCTGATGCGGCGGCTTTGGTTCAGCTGCTGCTACTGTAGATAAAATTGAAGAAAAAAAAAACAAAAAAAAATAGAAACAGAAAGGATTCTGTGACGCGTTGAAAATGATTTCGCGCATGGGATTCACTGTTTGTATTGGCACGCACACTGGGGCGTTATTTCAGCTACTGATGCGATACAGAAGTGGCAGAGGACCAAGGCTAAGCGGCTTAGGCCATCCAATTATGTAGATCGTTACTCACAGAGGCTTGGTCATCCAACTCTCTCTCCCTCTCCCACTCTTTCTGTCTATTTGCAGAACCCAATTTCGTGGGCTCCTTTGACATTGGCGACTACGTGTACTTCTTTTTCCGAGAGACGGCCGTCGAGTACATTAACTGCGGCAAGGCGGTCTATTCGCGTATCGCGCGCGTCTGCAAGAAGGATGTGGGCGGCAAGAATCTGTTGGCCCACAACTGGGCCACGTATCTGAAGGCGCGGCTAAACTGCAGCATTTCTGGCGAATTTCCGTTCTACTTCAATGAGATACAATCGGTTTATCAGCTGCCCAACGACAAGACGCGCTTCTATGCCACGTTCACGACCAGCACGAATGGCCTGATTGGATCAGCCGTATGCAGTTTCCACATCAACGAGGTGCAGGCCGCTTTCAATGGTGAGTGCAAGACTTAAATATATATATATATATAAATATAGAAAGAGAGTGTGGTGCGGGAGGGGCGGGGCTAGTCTATATGTGTGCATGTTAAGTGCTGTGTGCAAAATGGATGTGATGAACGAACGTTATCCTGGCCACAATGTTGCCAACTGTCAACGTCAAGTGATGTGCAATTTTCTCTTTTGTTTTCCCGCCCACGCCCCAAGTGCTTTGAGTGGAAATAGAAGCTGAAACTGAAACAGGAATAGGAATACAAAATCGAAATAGAAATAGAAATAGAAATGGCAATAGCAAATGGCAAATGCAACTTATCGGCAAATTTTATTTGCAAACGCCAGCACCTTGGGTTACAGCTGGCCCCCATGCGATTCACAGCGCACACACCGGACGGGGACAGTTCGAGTTTAACAATAAATCCAATAGCTTCCACAGATCCAATAGTAACTGAGCAGAGCGGAGCAGAGCATGGAGCACAGAGCACAGAGCACACATAGCACTCAGCGTGTTGAGTGTTTTGTAATTTCGCTTGCCGTGGAGCAACATAAATCGTATTAGAAAATCCATTTGAATGGATTATAGCCCCAACACACACACACACTCGCACACACACTCACTCGTTTGCTCGTTTGCTCGCTTAACGCTTAGCTGCACAACAGCTGACACTTTGGGGTCGCAGATTTAAAACTTCATTGCAAACACTTGCCACACACACACACACACACATACACACACAGCAGAACAGAGCGCTGCGTGCACCTGAAGTATCCAACTATGCCAGTTGCTAGTGCATAAGTCTTAACCATAATCCTTTACATATATATACAGAAACACAATTACATACACACACACATATATATACACATCTACATATTCATTTTTCTTATCTTATATCTGTTTGTTTTGCTCTTCTTTCATTCGTTGTTTTTTTGTTTTTGTTTTGCAGGCAAATTTAAGGAGCAATCCTCTTCAAACTCCGCCTGGCTGCCGGTGCTGAACTCTCGCGTGCCAGATCCGCGACCCGGCACATGTGTCAACGATACCTCAAATCTGCCAGATACCGTACTCAATTTCATACGCTCGCATCCACTTATGGACAAAGCCGTAAATCACGAGCACAACAATCCGGTCTATTATAAAAGGGATTTGGTGTTCACAAAGCTCGTTGTTGACAAGTAAGTTTTATTTCTACTTGTTATCTCTCTCTCTGTCTCTTGTACACATACATACATACATACATGTACTCACATTCATTTAAAGTACTCAACACACACACACACACACACACACATATGCCTTCTGTCCAGCCGAGACAGTTGTACTCAGTTTCACTTTGTACTTTTTAATTCATTTTTGTATTCCCCATTTCGATTCGTTCCTTTTTGTGGCTTTGGCCTGTTAAAGTGAAAATCAATGTACGAATATTTATTTTGTTGTTTATTCGTTTGCTTTAAATAAACCAAGTGTTGCTCGCATCTCGAATTTCCCACATTTACTACTACACCTTTCATGGAGCAGAAACAAAAAAAAAAAAAAAAAAAAAAAAATTAAAATAAAAATAAATAACATATATTTTCTGTTGAGTGAATTTCGTAGTTTTGTCTATTGAAAATCCTTTTAGCACAGCATAGATTAATGCCGGCATGAAGGAGTAAAAATAGTTTCGATAGGATAGGATTTTATATCGAACGACAATGAGAAATTCAAATTTAATTAATCAATTTACATTTTCATCTGGAAATATATCAAGCCCAAGCAATTAGCTAATGCGCCAGCTGCTGTGAGATAATGGAGATAATTTGGAAAGTAAGCCGAGTCGAGAGTAAAGCAATTCTTTGGCTAAGAAAGTTATGAGCGGTTAGCAAAAGTATTTGGGTAAATAAAAGTCTTTAGGTAAATTTCAAATGCGTAAATAAAAAGTTATTAATATGCATAATTAGAATTGTGTCATATTATGTACTTAGTCAAATATTTGTTTATTTATTAAATTAAAATAATTTAATGAGAATGTGAAGCATATTCTTAATAAATTTAAAAAGAATACTTTAAATTTCTTTTGAAGTCAGTCATAGTGAATGAATCTGTTGCATTGAGAGAAAAATATAACATATATCTATTTATTTATTTTTTATTATTCATAAATATTTTTTAATTTCCCTTTAAAGATTCAATAAGAATATAAAAGTAAAATAATTTATTAAATATATACCTTTATGCTATAAAAAATAAGTTAAAAAGGCTTCATAAAATTCCTTTAACTTTTTCATTATTACAAAATATTATTTAACTATCATTCATTGTGTCTTCTGCTCATTTCATTAAATGTAAAAATAAATCGGTTTTAATATGGCAAAATTTATTGATATTGACAACATTATCATAAATATCATATCATAAATAAAATATATATTAAAAATTATTTATCTATTTTTAATATGTGAAAATTAAAATTAAAAAAATTAAATGAATTATTTGAACATTAATATATTTAACAAAAAAATGTAATTCGCATTAAACAAGAAGTGAGTTTCTATGTGCATTAATTGCTCTGCAATATTTTACCTGAAATCATGCAATGCATTTTAATAACTGCATTTACAACAGTTGCAACAGCAACAGCAACACGTTCAGGTGTTGCAAGCACGTTATTAATGAAAGAGTGAGTGAGGTAGAGAGAGGGGAAGTAGAAGAAGAATGCACACAGATGCGGCTATTTAATTCGTTAATATGCGGGCCATTTATCATATTAAATAAGCATTTAATTTCCATAACTGAAATCAAACTGAATCCAGCAGAAAGCCATTGATACACACGCACAATCACACACACACACTCACACACACATGCACTCACATACTCACATACACATAATGCATATTTAAATCTCGAATTTACGACTTTCCCTTTGTCAGAATCAAAATCGACATACTGAACCAGGAGTACACCGTTTACTACGTGGGCACCAATCTGGGGCGCATCTATAAAATCGTGCAGTATTACCGGAACGGCGAGTCGCTGTCCAAGCTGCTGGACATCTTCGAGGTGGCGCCGAACGAGGCCATCCAGGTGATGGAAATCAGCCAGACACGTAAGTCACTCTATGTGGGCACCGATCATCGCATCAAGCAAATCGATTTGGCCATGTGCAATCGCCGTTACGACAATTGCTTCCGTTGTGTGCGTGATCCGTACTGCGGCTGGGACAAGGAGGCCAACACGTGCCGGCCATACGAATTGGATCTGCTGCAGGTAAGTGGACACACTACAGCCACAACATCGAGCATCGAGCAACGAGCACTGCGTTAATACTCCCAACTATCTATCGTTGCAGGATGTGGCCAACGAGACGAGCGACATTTGCGACTCGAGTGTGCTGAAGAAGAAAATCGTCGTCACCTATGGCCAGAGCGTGCATCTGGGCTGCTTTGTCAAGATACCGGAGGTGCTGAAGAACGAGCAGGTCACCTGGTACCATCACTCCAAGGACAGGGGACGGTAAGTGGATATGACGTTAGCCCTCACACATAAACTACATATAATAATTATGCATTTCTGGCCAGCTATGAAATCAAATACAGCCCCACCAAGTACATTGAGACAACGGAGCGCGGCCTGGTCGTGGTGTCGGTGAACGAGGCCGATGGCGGACGCTACGATTGCCACTTGGGTGGCTCGCTGCTATGCAGCTACAACATAACTGTCGACGCACACAGGTGAGTGTAGTACCACTACAAAGCCAGGCCAACCCACCTGGATAACCCTAAATTGACTGCTAATTACAAAACCATTTCTGTCGCTTCGTTTGCCCCGCTTAGATGCACGCCACCGAACAAAAGCAACGACTATCAGAAAATCTATTCAGATTGGTGTCACGAATTCGAGAAGTATAAAACAGCCATGAAGTCCTGGGAAAAGAAGCAAGCGGTAAGTTATTATCCAGATTGAAATTATCACCGCAGGCAGCGCTAATGAGCGCCACACACAGAGACACAGACAGAGAGAGAGAGAGAGAGAGAGACGGAGAGGTAGCGCCCGGGGCAGGCACATGCCATAATAAATGATTTGGCCGGCAATTATTTTAATAGCCTGCTGGCTAACTGACACCACAACGTCAAATCACAAACAGTGTAAAGTAGTTAAGCTGTCATTATCTAAACACCAACGTCCAGCAGCGGCTGGCTGGCTGGCAGGCGCAGCGGTTGCAACCAGGTCGCGTCTCAATATGGTTCGATTGACCAATGCCACTATTTTACATGTGTATATTATATCTCTCTCTCTCGCTGTCTCTGTGTGTGTGTGTGTGTTCAGGTGCGACCTCAATGGTTGGTAATTGCCTACGTGGTGGTGGCGGCGTCGGTGGTATTGGCGCCACATGGCCGGAACAAGCAATTAAAATGCAATCATTTGCCGTACGTCATATCGGGCCACATACGTACATATATAGTAATATGCTTATAATAGTTAACACAGCTGTTTACGGCACGCATTTAATACAACATTTGTCTATTTTCGACTCGTCTCGTTTCTTGCAGCAATGCTCCACGCGCCAGAACTTCAGCAGCAATCAGCATCCCAATGATATCTTCCGCAAGAACAACGTTTGATACCACGACAATAGCCTCACGGTCACCATGCCACACATCCATGTCCATTAAGCGTTTCTACTAATCCGTCAAGACTTCCCAAAAACAACAACAAACTGCATCAAATCAAATCAAATCGTATCGAATCGTATTGGAGTTAATAAAATAGTAATTATTTTTATTATTGAGCGCCTACTTTGACTTAAGTTGCCGCATAGTCCATCGTCATCAATCATCAATCATCAATCATCAATCATCATAGTTAAGCATGAACTCCTACAAACTGCATTTATACGAATATCAATTTACATATGTGTATAGAGCAACCACTTCCAGTACAGTGCATTTATTCAACATACGATGAGAGCTGATGGGATATTAATAAATAATTCAAGAGACACTTGTCTATGGCATTTAGAGATGCACATACAGTTACAGTTACAATTACAATAACAATTACAGTTGATAAAACAAAATAGCTAGCTACAAAAAAAGAAATAAATAAAATACAATTTACAACTGCCGCTCGCAAACGCAAACAATATTTAAGTGGAAATCAAATCACTTCATATCGTTATTATAAACATTGAAATCGAATTAAAGTAAATACAATTAATTAAGCATACTTATTGCAACTAAAAGTAACGCAACGTTTCAAAATGTTAATATATGTAATTCTATCTTAAATCTAACAACTAACAAAGGCAAATGAAGAGCGAACGAACAAGTATTACAAGTACATAAACCCTAACACATACATATACATATATAAATCACATTTCAAGCATTCGAACTCATAAACAAATCAACAAGAATATATATATATTTAATATTATATCGAACTATAAAACTATATGTAATCGGAGAAGCAATGTGATGTTAAGTTTTGATAAATTTATTAATTGCCCTCTTAAACGATATCCACACACACACGCACACACACACTCATACACAATAACTGGATTCGCATTCATAAACATGCCACATATATATACATATATACACCAATATATATATATATATATATATATTAATGAAAATCTGCTTTTCAACTAACTGAACTTAAAGAACAACATCAATAAGCAATATAATCGTATAAAACAAAACAAAGCAAAGCAAAACGACACAAAACAAAACAAAACATTGAAGCTGAATTATATAAAAGTACACATAAACATAATATATATATATATAGCAAACAATTTACATCAAATCGGTCCATAGTTTATATACGACATAATAATAATAATTATATATTATATAAAATAGCAAAAGCATTTCGTCATTTATGCAGTTTCCATTTTAAAACTAATTTCAATCCTCGATCAACCAAATTATTATCAACATTTGTATGTAAAACTGTTGCATGAACGAATTTTTACTCGATTTTATTTTACACTATTTTTACAGACTTGCCCAGCGCAAAGTATGAAATTATGAAATTATGAGATCATGAATTTTTAGCATACTTTTCTATCTGTACTTAAGTTAAATCGACGACATTTTAGTTTCTAAGCGTTTAGTTGTAAAAAAAAATATTAAATTTTAATAAAAAATTATCTATAAAGTAAGCAAAAATATGTTTTTTTACTTGACTTTTGTGGGCAATCAGAAATATAATCAACTTTATATTCTAGATTAACTTTAAATGAGGAATATGATGGAATTTGTGTAAGAAACGGGCATATTAGCTTGACAGTACAAGGGAATGTAGTTGAAGATATATGTAAAATATACATATTTATAAAATGAGGAAATGTTTTTATTGAATTGAAATTTTAGATTTTAGTGGGTAAAGGAAATAATTTGTTGAAAAGTTTAAAATTAATTTTAAAAAAGTTATTGAAAAGTTTAAAATTAATTAAAATTGAAAATATTGTGGCTGAAGCTGTTCTTCTATGATCCATGAAAATCTTGGTGTATTCCCCTAAAAACTTTTGTTCCCTTATTGATTGTTAATTAAGACTCGCTCAATTAACTTAAGATTTAAATTCAAATTGAATGAAATCCACATTTAAAATATTTAATACCCAACAGCTTTAGCAATCAGGCAAAAACAGGGTATGCCACAGTCGGGCATTCAGCCTGCGGCTTGTCTACAAATTCTTATCAGAATCGCACAGCCCGAGGCACATTTTCATGCACAACTACCCCAAATTGTTGGCTTTGCAGCAACAAAACGCCAAACACATTGAAATGGCAATAAGGAATTAAAGACAAGAAGAGAGAAGAAAAAAAAACGCTAAGGCGCAAATAACAATCACAAAAGAATTAGAAAAGTTGCCGAAAGAGAAATTAAATCAGTGCGTAAAAAAAAACCGAGAGAAGAAAATAAAAATAAAAATGAAAATGAAAAGAAAATAAAAATGAAAATGAAAAGCAACAACAACAAAAAGTACTTGAAATAATTTGCCACAGCTAATTTGACAGCAAGCCAAATGAATTATTACAACAATATATATGTATGAATATATATATAGCGTATATCTGATATTTCTGGTTCATGCTGACGACTTCAGTTTCTGACTTCATTTCAGCACAATTTTGCGCATTTAAAATTTGATTTGAAATTTGTGAGTTTGATTAGAAATTTTCGAGCTTTGGCGGAAATTTGTGCCTTTCATTTGGCCGTTTGGCTAATTAAAGCGCTTTGGCTTATGTATACAAAGGTCGACTTCGCTGCCCCAATAAAATAGAGGCAGAGGGCAGCGCTCGCACCCTCGCACTCTCTCGAGTTGTTGCCCACTTTGCTGAAGCTCTAGGAAAATGTTCGTCTTTGTTCTTAAAAATTATCGCACAGCAAATAAATTTTGCTGGAATCTGCGCCTGTCATTGTCGTTGTCTTTGTTGTTGTTGCTGTTGTTGCTTTGCTGGCAGTCCTTGTAATTGTTTTAGCATCCTTTTGCTCGCAGCAGGGTGCCACAGCTCGGCCTGGCTGCCTGCTCGGCCTGCCTGCTTGGCCTGGCCTGCTTGAGCATATTACCAAAAATGGTTGTCAACACTTTGGCGCAAAAGCTTTTAGAATTCATTTCGCCGCCTTCCACTCTGGGGGCCCGGTTAATGGTGCTCGCGGCCATTTTTCCACGCTTTGTGTAATTTCGGTGCTCATTATTTTATTGTGTCCAGCGCACGTTGAATATCCAAATTGCAAATTTTAGCTGAAACCCCTCGAGCAGTTAATCTCTTTTTGTGTTCTGCTCAGTTTTCGTTTTTTTTTTCTTCTTCTTTTTTTTAACGGCAAATAGTATTAAAAAACAATTTCAACTTTATCGCACGCGGAGTGAAAATAAAAGAAAAATAATCGTCTATGCCATCTAATTGAATTTGGCGCCTGCAATTGCATTGAAATTTGATCAGTTAATATGGCCAAGAGGCCTCGCTGGCTCCCATCAGGTACAATTAATTCGGGTCTCTGCTGCATTGTTCGCTGGCTTGGTTGGCTGCTAAACCATGACAGGCAGCTGATGCGCAACAGACCGTAAGTGTTTGCCAGGCCCATGTACTACACTGAAATTTACTTAAGAGAGACACACACACACACACACACACGCACACACATGCCAAATAAGCCCGCAGCAGTCTATGTCACATTGCGCATACGCAACGTGGCCCTCATGTGTGTGCTACGTGCTTTTCCACTGTTGTTGTTGTTGTTGCTGCTGCTGTTGTTGCTCACACTATTCGACTTCTTCCGTGCAGACAATTAAAATCTGGCAGCATTTTACTTGTAAGCCGCTTAATAGGACTGCGAGAAGTCCTTTAGCACAGCTGCAGCATCGAATGCGACCCGAAAATGTGTTCATGCGTGAGCATCATACACACACACACGAGCACTCGCACACACACACACACACGCCCACATGGGGGTCACAGGGCAGAGCTCAGCTGGGGGAGGTTACACTCGTTGCGAGCGTGTTAACTGAAGCTAGACAAAGTGCATGGCCAAAAGTTGAGAGCGAACCAGCTAAATTATGGCTTAAACTTTGCTTTATGCCATTTCGCATGCTACCTGGCCCCAAACGGCCTGCAGCCATACATTAAAGCCGCACTTAAAGCACACTTAGCCACATTAATTCAATTCCAATTTTAATTTGGCCAAACTGAGAACGCAAAAGGCAAAGATTGCGAGCTGAATTGGGCTTATCGGCGAGCACATTGCATAATTCCAGCTGAGTGCGCAAAGACAAATGTTAATTTAAAATGAAATACTTTGAACTATTCAACTTGAGCAAATATTTTATCATCCAGCAAGGCGACATTTATGATTGTGCGACCTGGCCAAGCAGCTGGACCAAAAAGCTAAGCCACAAGCCTCTGTCTCTCTGTTGTCCCTTTGTCTCTGTTTGCATTGCTCTGTATATCTATGTGTGTGTGTGTGTGTGTGTGTGTGTGTGTGTTTAGCTGCAGGGCATCCATTTGCTGGTCTATCTGTCTTGGTCGTGCGTCTGTGTTATCAAGCGAACAGGTCAAGCGCAAAGGTGAGAAATAACAAAATTTCAAATTTGGTTTCGGGCATTTCAGCTGCTGCTGCTGCTGCTGCTGCATCAGGATTATTGGGTTAATTTGCACACCCTCAACGAAGCCCTGCTTCAGATATGTCCACACACACACACACACACACGCACACACATTTGCTTGGGCCATGCAAGACAAATACCAAGCTACAAATTCGTATTTCCATTTGAACACTTTTATGCTTCTGGCATTTGCCAGTTCTCAGTTCTCAGTTCTCAGTTGGCAGTTCTCAGTTGGCAGTTGGCAGTTGGCCGACGTTTGTATTCGTGTTCAAACATTTTGCCAAAGATAAGTCCACACTTTGCTGAACTAAAATTGAATTCCATTTGCTGCTTGACAAATACAAATCGTAATTATTTGTGCATGCCCAGGACGATAAGCATTATTAAAACTACACAAATTATATATATGTATATGTATATATGTATGTGGTTGCAGGACGATGCTCAATTTTAATTGCAAAATTCTAGCAATTCATTACAGGCAGTTGGCAGTTTTGATATTGAGGCTTCTAGATAACTTATAGAAGAATTAGCTAAAGTAAATTTTATTATATAATCAAATTGAAATCATTTGAAAACTCTTTGGGCAGCACAGATTACTTCTTTGAGTAAGATAAGTAATTATTAAATCAGGGCGACGAGCTGAGTCGATTTAGCCCTGTCCGTCTGTCGGTCTAGATATAAGATATAAGAGCCAGAGACTTTTCCTAGGTCCGTGTAGATCACGCGTTTTTATAGAATCTCGAGTTTTTTATAGAATCTCGATTTTTGATGTAATTTACCCCCCACACATAATAAAGAAATTATTATACTAGTCTCTGGGTATAATATTTGTGTGAAAATGTATATAACCGGCAGCAGAAGGCGTGGCAGACCCATAAAATATATACATATGAATAATTATTTTCAAATTGTATTTTTTTTTACTCATTTGAGCTAATTTTATTGCTATAAATGGACAGATTGAATTATTGGAAATATTTCCAAATGCCTTTCAAGCATATAGCTTTAATAACGGTTAAAGTCTTGCCCGATTAGCCCTATTTGCACTCTCGTTGGCAACACAAGCTTAAATGTTCTTTTAGCCTGCTAACGAGTCCTGTGGCTCCTGGCATCTGGTTCGCTGTTTGGCGCATTTTTCGCACCAAAAAAAAAAAAAAACGAAAAAATATTAAGCCAAATTATGCCCGATTCACTGGCTTGGAAAATTAATTATGTGCACCTATTATAATTATACTTATTGTCGTCGTTATTGTTGTTGTTGTTGTTGTTGTATTTGCTGTGGGTTGTGCACTTGGCCAGCAGCATCCGGCGACAAATTAAAATTCATACGATATTCAACAAGGACATGATGCAGTTTGCATAATGAGTCCACTCTAAGCTGAGCCGCTTTGACTGGCTATAGACTTCAACTTTACAGTTATTTGAGCCGAAACAAAAAAGTTCGAGCACAAAGTAGCTGTGGCTTTAAAATTCCTGGGCTCGAGCTGGGCCACAGCACAGCTGAGACGAAATGCCTCAGTTTAGTGCTGCTTGCCTTATTGAGCACAGATATAGCTCGTTAAAAAAAATATTTATCATTTATAAATTGGGACAGTAAATTTAGCATTTCTTTATTTATTTTTTTTTTCGTAAATTTTCCGTGAAGTAAAATTGAAGTGTAAATAATATATAGTATAGATATATTTATAAATATATATATATATATATTTAAATATAAACACGCCCTGTGAGCCGTCGAAGAACTAGAAAAAGAAGAAGAAGAACAGATTAAAATGCCTGCCTGTCGTGAGTTGCGTATATTCAATTCGGCCCGTCGGCTGCTCGGCTGCGAGTCGGCTGCGATGCGCTGTCGCGCCTTCTCCAGCAAGTGCGACAAGCCCAAGGGAGTTGTCATCGGCATCTATCAGAAGGACGGGGACAAGCCCATCAAGTCCTCGGAGAACGGTGTGCTGCTCGACGACGCCGTTGGCGGCAAAATCATGAGCCTGGTGCGCGAGCGCGGCATGGATGGGCGGCCCGGCAAGGGGCTGCTGTTCAATGGCCTGGAGGGTGAATTCCAAACGGTGGCCGTCGTGGGCATGGGCCCATCGGGCGCCGGCTACAACGAGGCCGAGGAACTGGACGAGGGTATGGAGAACACGCGCATCGCCGCCGGAACTGGCGCACGAGCGTTGCAGCTACAACGCATGAGCGAGGTGCATGTCGACGGTATGGACTTCTCAGAGCAGGCTGCTGAGGGCGCGGCGCTCGCGGTGTGGCGCTACAACGCCAATAAGCGCAAGAAGAACCGCTTGCCCACACCGAAGCTGCACATGTATGGCAAGGGCGACCACGATGGCTGGGTGCGCGGCCTCTTCAAGGCCGAGTCGCAGAATCTGGCTCGTCGTCTCTCCGATACCCCCGCGAACCAAATGACGCCCTCCATTTTCGCGCAGGCCACCGTGGATGCGCTCTGTCCGTGCGGCGTCTCCGTGGAGGTGCGCTCGATGGACTGGATCGAGGACATGAGCCTCAACTCGTTCCTGATGATTGCCAAGGGCTCCTGCGAGCCGCCGCTGCTGCTCGAGTGCACCTACTGCGGCACATCGCCCGAGGACAAGGCGGTGCTGCTCCTGGGCCAGGGCCTGACCTTCCACAGCGGCGGCCTCTGCCTCAAGAAGAAGACCGGCATGGACGAGTACCGCGGCTCCATGTCCGGTGCGGCCGTCTGCGTGGGCGTCCTCCGAGCCGCCGCCGCCCTCTCGCTGCCCATGAACATCTCGGCCGTGCTGCCGCTCTGCGAGCACATGCCCTCCGGCATGGCCGTCAAGTGCGGCGACGTGGTGACACTGCTGAACGGCGTCACGCTCGGCATCAAGAACGTCGACAAGGCGCCTGTCGTAATGCTGGCGGATCCGCTGCTCTACGCCCAGGCCAATTTCAAGCCGAAAATGATTGTCAGCGTGGGCGCGATTGGCGATGGCGTCAACTGCGGGCTGGGCGGCAGCGCCACCGGACTGTGGAGCAACTCGGCGTACGTGGCCAAGCAGTTCCGCAAGGCGGGCAGCATTACGGGGGATCGCGTGTGGCGCATGCCCCTCTTCCGCTACTTCAAACAGATCGTCACCACGAACACCACCTACGACATGAGCAACTGCGGCCGGGGTCCGGCCTCCTCCTGCCTGGCCGCGGCCATACTGCACACACTGGTGCCCTGCCTCGACTGGGCCCATCTGGATATCCGCGGCACCGGCATGCTGACCAAGATCAACACCCTACCCTATCTGCTCAAGGACAGTATGACTGGTCGGCCCACGCGCACGATCATTCAGTTTATGTATCAGCTAGCCTGCGCCCAGACTTAAGACAGACATCCCTCGATTGTTGGTGTTTATTTTTCTATTCTCATGTATTCCTCCCGATATGTACGTTTGGCTCTCGTGTATAAAATGGACAAGTTAGCGCTAGATAGAGTGACAATTAAAAGTCGAAATGTACCAAAAAAAAAACAAGTGAAAAATTCTCATCTCTCTTGGTCTGTAATGGGATCTGAATGAATTGACTTTTAGATTAGACTTGGACTCGTTCTGGCAGCCATTAAATATGTCGAAATTCTATTTATAGACAAATTCTATGTATTATCGTATATTCTATTGTATTTATATTTGGCACTGTAATCAGATTTCGATATTTACCCCTGTCCTCAAGCAGCATTTTCTTTAAATGATAAGTCAAATAAAACCAAATGTAGACAAACGGTGAAGAGTTTTCATTGGAGTTTAGATTCATATTTGAGAATCGTCAGATGGGAATTATATAGCATCAAGTGTGAAGAGGTGTGAGTGATTAAAAGAAATCGAGAAGAGAGATAAAACATATTGAATGAATTGTTTGTCTTATGCATAGAGGAATGAATAATAAATGTTATCATATATCAGCTCTTTACAGGGCATCTCCTAGTCAGCACTTGAACTTTTCGTAGATTGTCAAATTTCGAGACATTTGTAAATCAAAATTGACTTGTTTTCTTTTGCCCACGATTTATGCTATATTGAAGTATTTTCGTCTAGCTTACTTAAGCTTATTTACTTATTTACAATTTGTTGTTGCTGTTGTTGCTGTTGTTGCTGTTGCTGATTTTTTCAGCTCTCTGTGGCGTTTGTCAACCGCGCTGCAGCTGTCAGACAGTCTGCGCTGTCATTTTCAATTACGCAACAGACAATTTGCCTAGTCGAAGCTGAGAGATGAAGCTGAAAGATGAAGATGAAGCTGAAAGATGAAGCTGAAGCTGAGGATGTGAATGTAGATGTGAAGATGTGGCTGAAGATGTGAAGATGTGTGCAGGTGTTGATTGAAGCGCAAATCGAATTTACGGCCATAAACGCAGCTAAGGCGCTGTCAGCGACGCGCAAAAGTATGCAAAGCATATATGAATGTGTGTGTGTGTGAGTGTGTGTGTATGACTTGACAGCTCGATTTCTATTTTTTATTTGTCGTCTTTCGCCTTTCGCCCTTTTTCCTTTTTGATTTGACGTGCAGCCATATAAATGTTGTCTGATTAGCGTGTGTGGCAGCAATTGATTTTCACATTTGATTGAGTGTCTTAAGCTGTGCCTGATCCCCACGCAGCTGTGTGTGTCTTAGTGTATGTGTGTGTGTGTAGCTTACCCCAGCTGGGGCTGCAACATCAAGCTGAAGCAAAGCTGCCAAAGCCAGCCCGTCAGTCACTCAGCTTGAACCATCTGCGTTTGGCCTTTGATGTTGCCTGCTGTTTATTATTGAGCATAAATTGTTTGAGTTTTTTGTCAATGAAATTAGCTTAAAGTCCTTTAGTGTTGTCGACTATCGACTGTTGACTCTTGGCTGTTGGCTGTCTGCACACCTGCCGGCTTTAGCCTTTGCTGCGCTATTTGCGCATCCACACAACATTTTGGGCTAATCAGAGTCGAGGCGCACAGGCAGCAGCAGCAGCAGCAGCATCGAAATGCCACATGCTCTGGCTCAATATTTAATTTGCCCAAAAGCATATGCGTATATATGTGCGTGTGTGTGTGTGTGTGGGTGTGTTTGTTAGCTGTATTTGCTAATGCAGATGCGGATGCATAGTATTTGACTGCAAGCAGCTGGCAACTGGCAAAGGTTTACAGAGTCAACGAAGCAGCTGCAATTGGAGCCCAACATTGTCCTTGCCACCAAAATTCCAAGCAGCTCAAGCATCAATGTGTGTGTGTATGTGTGTGTGTGCCTGTGTACAATCAAATTTAATCTCGCTTTCAAATGTCAAATCAGAAACTGCTTGATTACACTTTGAATGGGGAAGGGCTAGGCTGCCTGGGTGCCTGCCTGGGTGCCTGCCTGGCTGACTGCCTGGCTGGCTGGCTGGCTAAACAAACTGAGGCTTTTATTTATTTAATGACTTGGCTGCTGCTCACCTTGGACAAATCTGACTTACAAATTCATTTGCTACATTGATTAATTAATGCTAATTTACGAAAATTCCATTTGCCCATTGGCCGCAACCAGAGCCACAACACAAACTCGCAGACAGCAGCGACTTGGCTCTGTCTTGGCATGCGTATCCTGCTCAACTGTGTGTGTTTAATTTACACGCACACGCACACACACAGATAGATACATGCTTCTGGCTGTGCAACAGCCGCCCGCAAATTTATGCCCAACTCAGATGCGACTATTGTTGCCGAATAACTCAATTTGCTAGTTGTGTGACCTCTAAACTAATCAGGATTTGTCTCGCAGCAAAAACATAAACAATTCTCATTTGAATCTGCTCAATGTCAGTTACTTTATTTCGATTGCCATTGCCAAAGGGATAATCACCAATATGACACAAGCAACAGGATGTGGTTTAGGGATTGATTTGACTAGTAGATTAGCTATAAATATGTAAATTTATGTAAATATATGGATTGATCTCGTTGGACGGCAAATCATCCGATTATTTATAGTTATAATTTAAAGATTTGCTGATTGCAAATAAAAAACGAAAAGAAAAAAAAATTACTTATATATTTGGATTTATATTTAATTTAAATTTTAATTATAATAATAATAATAATATTAATAATAATAATTTAATATTCCTTATTATGATTATTCAGGAATTATTTTAGGTACTTTTCACGAATATTTAATGAACATTATTTTTTTTTATATTAAATTTTTATTTATTTTTTTTTTCTATCTTTCTTTTTTAGTACATTTTTAAATATTACAAATTTATTATTATTTTTTATATATATATATAGTTTTTGTAGTACTTTTTATTGATCGTAGTATTGAAAATTTTACCTATGTATATACAAAAAATTTTATATCGACTCAGAAATTCCATTTACTCGAGAATATATGTATTGTGGCATTCATATTTCGGCGTATTAAATTAGAACAAAGAACAAAGATCATATATATTAAATAAACTCTCAACTCATTATGTTGCTCAGCCGCAGAAATTGCAGTATTTACCTCTCTGATGTTTTTGATGAGACTCAGACTCGGACTTATATACAAAATTCTCTAATTGAAAGTGTCCCACACAAGAAGCTCAGGCAGCAATTCACCTAATCGATTTATAGCTGTGAGAGATTTATATATTATCAAGAGATTACGGTCAGTCGTGAAGCATTCACGAGCTCTGAACTACGATCGTTGGCTCAGTATGAACAAACCGAAGCTAAGTGAGAGCGCAAGAAGCGTATACGGAATAGAGAATTCTATACCTGACTCTTTCACTCTCACAAAGCAGCGTGATTAAATATAATAGAGCCTAAAATGCCTAACAGAGATGTATCAAAATCAACCCGACAGATGCACACATACATATACATACATATACAAATATTAAAAAATAAAAATGACTATAAGATTTAATCCATTGTTGCGCTCAATTTAAATGTAAAAAGTTTATAAAAAAGCAATTTCATTAAGTGCTCGTTGTTTATGTTGTTATTGTTGCTAACATTTCCTAATGTCTCGCCCTCAATTTTAAGGAACTGCGAGTCCCTCAAGAAGAGGCGACTATATGCGCCGTAATATTTAATATAATTTATATAGATACTTATTTGGAATGGCTGAAACTGAAGGATTTTATTGGCCATTTGGTGTGCATAAGGACATCAATGGGGGCAAATTAAAAAACATACTCGCAGCCAGCTCGCAATTGGCTAAAATCGTAACAGGCAATTGGCTGTTTGGCTCTGGCGGGGCTCAGGCCGTAGCGAGAATCATACGGATTTTATTGCTTATTTGTTAAATGACTTGAAAAAGTTAATCAAGCGTGATTTTGATACGCCCCAGAGATAACGAATTATTGTTGGTATGAGTTGGTGCTGTGAGCCTTGCTCCCGGTTCCTGGTTCCTGGTTCTTGGTATCTTGTTCCCTGTTCCCTGTTCCCCTTTTCCTCATTCCTGTTCTTCATTTCTTGTTGCTGGTTTTGTTTGCTTGGTGTGTCGCCTTTGTTTCACGTGATCCTTGGGCCGCACACCCCACGCCCTACCCCTTCCTTGCTACGTGCATTCGCTATAGCAGAAATTTTCAATTTTCTTTGGTTTTTATTTTTTATTTATTTATTTTTTTTTTTTCGTTGGCTGTAGAAAGTGGCTGGACCATAAACGCAACAGGAAAACAGCCAACATATAGCAAATCGTCGGCGACACCTGTCGACGCCGTTTTATGAATTAATAAAGACGCCCCCAAATCTTGCAGATGTATGTGTGCTACGCCAGCGGCTGGAATGGGTTTTTGGTAATTCGGGGAGCAACAGCTAAGGCAGCAGCAGGAGCAGCAGCAGCAGGGGCAAGGCGTCTGATTGTGCGTTCAGCTTATTAAACGCATTTTTACAGCACGCTTAACAAGAATTTTCACTTTATATGCAAACATGTGAAACACTATAAACAAAGGACACCAATTTGCAAGCAAATACGCACACACTCACACACACACACATACACATGTTGCCATATATGAAGTCACATGCGCCAGTTGTGCGAAAAATTTCCTTTCTATTAAATTTTACAGTAAACTGAATTTACACCCAACAGCAACAAGAAGAAGAACAAGAAGAAGAAGCAGAAGAAGAAGCAGCAGAAGCAGGAATACAGCGCGTTATTAAACAGCATGAAAATTGCCAGAGTGTGTAGGGTGTGGTGGGGGGCGTGGCGGGGCGAGCTCTTTTGGCCTCTCATATTGCCAATGCCAGAGACCGTGTTATAAACAAAATGGCACAAAATGGCGACACCTGCTGTTGCAAATTAGAAAAATAAGATGTTTCATAAAAAATGAAATGTCAGAGGCAAATGCGGAAGGCGAACAACAACAACAACAAGAGCAGCAACAACAACTGGCACAACAGGTGAGCCTGGCAGGGTGACTGCCAGCAGCAGCAGCCGCGGGGGCTCCGCCCCATTAGCAAACAGATCCGTAGCCAGAAATATTTCAAATAAAGTAAAAACAAGCTGGCGACACGGATTTTTAGGTTTAATGTTGCGCGCGCTTAAATTGCTAGTTGGCCTAAAACTGAACAGCATTAACCAACAGCCAAAAGCAATTGAGAAATTGAGAATTGGGAGAGGCAAAAAATATATAAATACATGATAAAATGACATTAGCTGTAATGTACGATTAAAAGCATTTTGGCATAAAATTACATTTCGTTTAATGTACCAAAATTAAAGTCTTTTACGAAGAATATACTAACTTTTTATTGAAATATTAATAAGAGTGAGAGAGGGAGATATAA